TATTTTTCTCTTATTTTTCTCTTTTTTTTCTCTTTTAACTTCTCTTTTTTCTTCTCTCCCTTTTCCCTTTTTTTCTTCTCTCCTTACCTTTTCTTTTTTGTGTCTTCCGTTTCTTTTCTCTCTTTTCTTCCTGCCTTCCCTTTTTCTCGCAGCTCTTTATCTTTTCGCAAAATGGGCTGATAATTTTTTGACTTAACCTCGTGTATATATATATATATAACAGCAACAATAGTTATTTATATGCATATTAGTAAAATTAATGATAAAGTGAAAAATCATTTCCTCTTATGCGTTTTGTCTCTTATGACTTCTTCAGACTAAAGTGAGGTTTACATCGATATAACTACACATGCACAGGAAATGGGAGGACGCTGAAAATTTAAACTTAAATTTAACTTCGTTTTTAAATGTGTTTTGATATATAGCCTAAGTAATTTCATTTAGTTTCTTCTTAATTATCGTTTTATCACTTTTCTTATTAACTATCCAAAATTGCGATAATAGAAAATCTGCCAAGAAAAGTGAATTGTTGGAAGAACGTCGACAAAAATTTACTATGGATGATCTAGCGATTAAAGTACTTTCTATACTATTCCTCTTCGTAAATTGCTTTCTCTTTTCATTAAAATAGAATGTTTTTTAAATTGAAATTATGGTCAAACTATTTACAATGAGCAACTAATGCACTGTTTTGTTTTGAGTGTTGTTTTGACTAAAAAGGGAATTTTGTGTTCATGTAATCTTTTATTAAAATCCCTCGAGGTTTAGCCTATGTACTGTAATTTCCCATGTATAATACGCCTTCATCCATAATACGCACCCCTAAAATTGTGCTGAAAGTGTAAGAAAATGTTTCTACTCACGCATAATACGCACCCCTTCTTTGGTTATCAAAGCCTATACATTGTACCTTTCCAATTTCATTACGGCCAGCGTTTTCTACTCTTATTCAAGTTGTAATTGAAGATATTTATTAAAATTTCCGATTATCACGATTCTAAAAGAAAACGGAAATACCTATATTGCGCCTACTGCGCAGACTCATTAACCTGTTCGATAAAATGTGCCATTTATCCGATCTGTATGTAGTTTTTCACAAAAAATGGTTTTAAGCATAGAATAATATTATTCTAATTTAGTTTTATGATAATTCTTATTTTATTTTACAATTGTTAGTATTTTTAGGTACATAGGATTATATTTGACATCCTTATGGGGTCGCACTCAGCGAATGTTAGTGCCAAATTGTTGTATGTTTGTGGTGAGTAGTCATTTCGCAACTGAAATCTACCTATAAAACGGGAAAGTTTTGAAAATCTTTTGTAGCTGTGCATAATACGCACCCCTAATTTTGCTTGTTATTTTTTTAGAAATTGCGGTAATTATTACAGGTGATAGTGTAAATTCCTCCAAGTTTTAGATTATTATTCTGGTATATAAAAATGTATGTATCATTTTCTCTCATATTTGCGCTAGTATTTTTCTACCAGAAACTGTAACTAAGGTTCGATCCCTGCACTGACAGTTACATTCAGCCAGTCATTTATGTGCAATGCGTGATACACGATTGGGCAATCATGTATCTTTCGATATATGACTGACAGATTTTTTTCCTCGCAGTAGGTTGCCATTTCTTTCTACAGTAGACCAGTTGCCATCCAACACTATACAACCCGGAGTGACCTGTTAGTTACTCATATGTTTTGCTTCTTAAGTTCACACAAACGTTTTAAAAAATGATTTAATTATAAGACAGAGAGAGAGAGAAACAGTTGTATTAAATCTCGCTTGTTTTGGCATCGAGACGAACACACAGACACAAACGCGTACGTTCGCACACTCACATATATAGCGACAAACTGACAACTGCTAGACCTGGCACTAATTTTTACGAAGGCTTTCAAATGTTTAGATTTGAAGCTCTATAGTTAAAACCAACAATAAAGAATAAACATTGTAGTCATGGTTAGAAAATTCAAGTCACTTTAAGAACAAGGAAGATAATAGTTTAGCATTGATTATCGATATATTGGCATTACATTCCTCACCCGAGAGAGCAATGGTTAGCTGACTCGTCTCGCAGACGATTCCTCCTGGAGTGAATCGGATCTTTACACACTACCCACACTCAGCTAAGCTTTGTAAATATTTCGGACGCCTCGGTGTTTGTGTAGATGTTGTTAAGTTAAGAAGATAATTTCAAAACCATTAGATTATTCTTTGCCAAGTTTGAGCTTTTCTGGTTAATTTTTTGTTTACAATTCAATGAAGCGATTTTGGAAATTCAGAAGAGTATTTTAAAAAAATATTTTTCTCTCTAAAAATCTGTGGTTGTCGTAAAGTGTAACCCGGATATAAGAGATTTTCTCTGGTCCCAAATTAGAGCCTGTGTTAATGTATATAAAATAGACCAAACCCGGATATAAGAGAAACCCGGATATAAGAGACTTCTTCTCCGGTCCCGACAACTCTCTTACATCCGGGTTACGCTGTATTAGCAAAAAAAATATTTTTGTATTAGTAAGTACCTTGCAAAAAAAAAAAAAAAAAAATTAGAAGCATTACCTATCGGTACGAAAAATATATATATATATATATATATATATAAATTTTTATTCTATTAAACAAAATAAATAAATAAAAATAAAAATATTCTATGATAGAAAAGATCATCCGTAGACCGTGATATGACATTTCTTAGAACTGTCAGGGTGATTTGGAAGTGTCCAGTTGCTTTTCATATAGCTATAAAATCATCTATCTGTCTATATTTCTGAGATGAGGTATTATGTACAGTATTCACATTAGTCGGACTATTGTCCTCATCTTTGTCGCCATATTTGTCACAACGTTTCGGCCGTTGTACGCTCCGGCCTTCTTCAGGTGGTTGGAATTTCAAACTGAACCCTTTATTTCGATCACTGGGGTAGACTGTTCTAGTTCCACGTGCCATGTTTGATGGATATCGGTTATCTCCTGCTAATTTTCCCTCTAAACTCACACTTTGGGTCCTGTCACTGGATCTAACCAACGCCTTTATCCACTGTGTCATGTGCCCTTGAGGACATCTGGGTATGAATTTCTGGGTATTATAAACCTAATGTTTTCAGCAACCATTTTTTACCAGTGCTCATATTGCAATTTTGCTGTTATCATTGCATGTTTCTACCAGAGTTCATATTGCAACTTTGTTATCATTGCTTTTCTCTGGTACTCCTTATTACTGGTTCCCATATTGTATTTATTTCTATGCTTGGTCGGCTCAGGAGATTTTTGTGGCCTAGCATATGTGCTGATTCCTTAAGTTTACGAATTTTCCATCCACCTGAAGAAGGCCGGGGCGTACAACGGCCGAAACGTTGTGACAAATATGGCGACAAAGATGAGGACAATAGTCCGACTAATGTAAATACTGTAAAATCATCTATGTTTTTCTTTCCTTCTTTCTTTACCTGGAGTCGGTTCTCTTTTTGCTTTCATTTCTTTTTTCTTTTATTTACTTCCTTGAATTCTATCACTTGCGTTTTCATTTTAGGCAGAATAGGTGGGACAAAGCCTCAGACAATAATGCTTTGATTTATCTCTACCAATTATTTCCTATTTTTTCCTTAATCTGTTTATATCTTCTTATCATTTAGCTCACATCTAGCTGTCTATATATATATATATATATATATATATATATATATATATATGTGTGTGTGTATCTATCTACTTACATCTCTTTTCTTTCTTTCAGTCTGACTTTTTTCTATCTATCTAGCTAGCTCGGTCTGTTCCTTATCTATCTGTCTATCTGTCTGTTCCTTATCTGTCTCTCATATATATATATATATATATATATATATATATATATATGCATGCAGAAAAGTTCTCGTCCTGACACCCTTCGCAAAATCGGCAAAAATAAGCAAGCATCAATTTTATTTTATTCGGTTTGGAGTGGCGATCCCAGCATGCGTCAAAATGTTTCAAAACCATACCACGGGCTGACCTAACTCTTGTGACTGATCTCTGGTAGATAGAACTATTTGAAGACGTCGATGGTTGTGATAGCACCAAGTGGCGAGTCATCGTGACCGAGGGTCTCAGCATACTGACTTTGTTTAGACTATTGATAAGCTGTGTCCCAGAAAGTGTAACTTAGGTCCACTCAGCAGAGTTGCAATACAAACTACTGGTCGTCTCTATAGCTATTAAACACAAACAAATGTGCCTAAGCAAGCGTCTGCAACAGGGATTAGTTAGCCGCCCTATTAGACATGCAAACTCAGATGCGAGCCTCCAGCCATTTTATTTATATATATATATATACACACACACACACTAAGTTCGACCATTATTTTAATATATTTTATTGTTATGCGTTTATTTATATAGACAAAAATATTTAAGTAAATGCTTTGTCCATAATAAACAGTATTAAGAACATTTACCGGCCTGAATGTCCTCCGATAGGAACCGAACCTCTATCCTACACGGAACAATCATATAGCCTGACGTTCCATACCAGTTTAGCTAAGAAGCAATAAATCGACCTTGCTAACCAGACGCGACCTTCGTAGCTAAACTAGTATAGTTCCGTGTAGGATACAGGTTCGATTCCTGTCGGAGGACGCATATTATCAATCACTTTTCCCGGACATTCAGGCCAGTAAATGTTTTTAGTGCTGTTTATTATAAATAGAGCATTTAATTAAATATTTCTGTATGTATAAATAACGTATAACAATAAAATGTAATAAAATATATCAAAATAATTGTCGAACTTTGTGTGTGTGTGTATATAATATATATATATATATATATATATAATTTCTGACTGCTATATATATAAGCAGGCGTCTGCAACAGGGATTAGTTAGCCGCCCTATTAGACATGCAAACTCAAATGCGAGCAGTCAGAAATTATATATATGGGAGAGAGAAATAATTTTGACAAATTATTATATGTACATTAGTATATATAACATTAGCATCATATCATAA